CCCATGCCCGCTAAGCTCGTCCATGAACTAGGTAACGCCAAAAAGAGGAGAAACAGAAGAAAAAAAAAAAAAAAAAAAAAAAAAAAAAGACAAAGTCTTAGTATTATAATTAAAATAATTTTGACCTCATGGATTCCCTCACATCTCAGAGACCTACCTCCCTCAAGGGTTCACCATTCCACACATTAACCACTGAGCTAGTGTCTAGGATCCAGTTGTGACTCAAGAAATAGTTGCTGAATGAAGTAATGAATACCATACCTGGTGCTAGGTGTTGGGGACACACAAATGAACAAGACAGAAGTCCCTGGCCTTAAGGAGCTTAGATTCCAATGGAAGAGACAAATATTTACAAAACTGTGCTATCAGTACCACCACTGGAGTAAATACAAGATCCTGTGGGGTGTAAGAGGGTACCCTGCCCAATCTTGGGACATCAAAGAAGGATTTTAGAGAACATGATGAGACTTAAAGGAGAAAGCCAGGTAAGGAATGCAAGTATAAAAGGAGAGTGAAGTGTCCCAGACATAGGGAGAAGCAAGACTTGCTAGAGTTTAGAGAGAGAGCAAGGCATGGCAGATTGACCATTAATAAGAAAATGTATCATGTAAGTTTCCTGAGGGATAATTTGAAGACTTTATATAGGGGACTGACATAAGTTTAGAAAGTTCACTGTAGGTACAATGTGAAGAATGAATTGGAGTAGAACAGGGTGACAGGCAGAAAGACTATTGCAGAGAGTTGAGGCAGGAGATAATATTGGCCTAGCTGGAATAGTAGTAATGGAGATGGAGAGAAATGCAGAAATTAGAGATATATGAGAAAGAAAAACTGCCAGGACTTTCTGATGGCTGTAGGAGGTGAGAGAGAGGGAGGGGCCGAGTATTAACACCCACATTTCTGGCTTAGGCAGTTGGGTTGATGATGATACCACTTAGAGACTGGCAACATAAAAGCACATATAATGAAAATGAGTTTAATTTGGGATATACTGTTTTGAGAACATCAAGACATATATTTTGAGGGCAGTCAGGTATGTAGATTTATAGAAAGGAGAGAGAACTGGACTAGAAATTTATATTTAGGAGTTATCAGTCTATATATGGTCACTGAGCCATGGAACTGAATG